ACACACACACACACACACACAACCGTTCTTCGGTCAAAGGTATACGAGTAGTTGCGCTCCCATTAGAACCGCCAAACAAACTCTTAAGTATTCACTTCTAAATACGTGGATCATTATGCCAAAAGAAAGATGATTGCTGTACTTTTTTTCTCTTTCACAAACCAAAGGGCTAAGTTAAAATAAAGGATTGTGTGACTTTTCATTTCTTTTGGTGGGATGATTTTGCCAAAGACAAAGATTTTCTCAGCTGGTACTTATTTTCTCTTTCATGAGGTCCTATTAGTCAATTTGTAAGTGTTTTCCAAACCCTGGCAGCCCTTGGTAACGCATATGAATGGCTCAGAACCCCAGTGGAGACTATTCTGCTGACCTTCTGTTCCCAGGAGAGCCCAGCATGCACAGGTCAGTAAAATTACAAGCATTTACTCCTCTGTTAGTACACAAACAGACAGAATGTGTTCCTCATTTTTTTTTTCTCTTTCATCCTTTAAATTCTTGGCCATTTTAAACGTAGGTATTTCTATAGAAATCACCTCTAGGTTGAAAAAGGTAATGTTGATTTTCACAACAATGACCAAGCAGTTATGAATAAAGTGTTAGGACAAGATTTTCTGATGGCCATTCCTATGATTTCTATGAAATCTAAAAACATGTAAGTAAGATGAACATGAATAACTGAGATATAAATAGTCATCTCTAAAAGCATAGGTTAAACTAAACACATGTTGTAGGGAGCAATTAACCATGACCTTGTAACCCCAGGTGTGCTAAACTTATAAATGGTAAATCTCCTATGTTTCAACAGCTGTGGTGATAACCATATTCTCAGATGTGGGCAACGGAGACTGGTAGGGATATGGCTTTTCTGCCCAGTAGCTAAGATTTATGAGCCCTGTGACAAGAGTTATGATCTGTAACAAAAGAATTGTAAGGAACCAGAAAAAAAAAAAGGCAAAATCCTACCGTTAAAAATATGAGGACCATAATAAAAGGCTTTTTTTTTTCTTCTTGGATGCTCTGTGCCACCATATATAGCTCCAGAATGTTCAGACACATCTGCCAACCACTCCCTACTTAAGAAGCCAATCGAGGCTTTAAAAAAGTTGCAGACCCTCTACCAGTGATTCCTAACTCTGGCTGTGCATCAGAATCCCCCGAAGAGTGTTTTAGAAATATATTTCACTAGATGTCTTCCACCACCCCATCTCCCTGCTCTTCCTCCTATCTTCCCCCCTCTCCCCTAGATTCTTATTCTGTGATTCTGAGGTCAGACCCAGGAATCTGTTTGGGTTTATGTCGTGTTTGTTTGTCTTCACCAGCTTTACTTTAGACTTTTGTTAAATGCTCACTACAAAAATTCCATAAACACCAAACTTTAAAGTTTGCTAAATATGCCTTGTACCTTTAGAATTGGGCAAGCTAACTTCAAATAAAAACCATCCTGCAGAGCCCTGACTCGAGCCGTCGAGGCACTGGAGGGTGGAGATGAAGCTGCGGGCAATGAGCCCCACTGCCAGATCTGAAACCGGGCTCCACCATGTTGGCCCCAACCAACTCCAGCCCCACAACTTCTCCCTCTGTGCCTCAGTGTCCTCACCTGTAGAGTGGGGATAAAAACAGTACTGATCTCATAGGGCTTTTGAAAGGATTAAATAGATACATAAAGCACTTGGAACAGTATGTGGCTCAGAGTAAGCACTGTGAGAGCATTAGTTATTTTTATCCAAGGTTTTACCCAAGAACTATAGAAATCAGTCAAAATTAAGTATTTTAATCTGTTTAATTAAATGTTCTCTGCCTTTCAAATCTCCCAAGTTTCTTTAAAAGTACAAGTTGCTCTTGGGAAAAAAAACAAAACAAAACAAAACAAGTCTCTAGTCCTCATTTCTCCAGTTTCTGTCAAGACCATTGATCACCAAGAAGAATCGTCTTCTTTTTTCTTTAGAGAGCAGGAGTCGGGTGGGGCAGGGAGAGAGGGAGATAGAATCCCAAGATGTGGGGCTCCATCTCACAACCCTGAGATCATGACTTGAGCCGGAATCAAGAGTCAGACACTTAACCAACTGAGCCACCCCAAGAAGGCACCTTCTTTATAAACAAGTATTGAGAGCTATTTTGTAAAACTCATTTCAATAAATACAAATAATTCCATCTGGAAGTCTTCCTTTTAAAATGGAACTACTAGACTTTAAAATATCACAGAAAAAAATCTACTTCATTATACTTGTGTTGTCATAAGTATTTTGCAAAAAAAAGAAATTTAGATTTTATTCCATTGTGCTCTAGATTGTGATGGTGGTTGTATTTGCCTGATTACCCAAAATGCTAACTAGTTGAAGAATGAACGTTATTCTTAGTACCATGCTAATTTTAGAAGTGAGAAATTATAAATCATTATACTTAGTCTGAATTATATACGTAAGTGCCTCTCTCTGGGAAAAGGGATGCTGATTAAACCAGAAGATCAATTATGATTTCTACAGATTGTTGCTTTTACAAACCCATCTTCATATGAACATTGGAAGATCATATTAGTCCTACCACAATGATAATGTTTAGGTTTGCCATAAAGATATTTTAAAAATCTATTCAATATGACAGCATTGTATAGTTTATATTTTTCTCTGGTGTAGGTTTAAAATATTCCCTCACACACAGAGGCAGATCAAAATCTATAACCATCACAGCTGCTTCACAGATTATTGACAGGGATAATTTTTCATGGCCTGGGTGGCACGGGAATGCAGTTTCGATCATTCCACAACACACCATATGGGGACCTCTGTGCTCAGAGCTGTTGGTGATAGGGTGGGGGTGGAACCTCAAGAGAAACCAGAGAGGCTCTGTACTCGAGGAGTGTATAATCTTCAGAAAACTGGAAGTAGATCAGCACGGCACTCATCCCAGTCAGAAACATGAGAGCAGAACAAACACAACTCACTCAGCAAAAGCCCTGGCTAGTTCTGGGAAGCCTGAAAGAGGGAAATGGACCAGGAGCCACGGCATCCAAGGCCCCCGCCATTCTCCTGGTGTAAACCAGGAGTCACCCAGATCCAGGTATAACCAGTAGTGTGAGCAAGAAAGCCAGAAGCACCATCCAAGGGGTAAAGATATGTGCTCACATGTAATCGCTAGAGGTGACCAAAAAAACTCCAATGTGTGTTGCTGTGACACAGGGCTGAAGCTCTTAGAGCAATGGTTTGAAAGGGGAATACCACTTAATTTCAAAGACGTGCTCCAATTAGCCCTGGTCCATTAGTAGAACACATTAGAAAGAGGTTTTCATTCCTTCTACTCAGCTTTTCAACTTGACATTCGCAGGAAAAACTGATAAAACTTGTGAGGAATCGTTGAAAATGTGTGAAGTTATCTATGAAACTAAATGTAATGATGTAAGATGAAAGAACAAATGTATCTTTCTGTCAGTAGATTTGGTGTTAAAACTCTGCTCCAGAACTTCAATACTTACAACCTCTCATGACACTTTTCTGTAAAATTTACAGTAGGTGAGAAGTCAATTATTACCAACATAAGCAGCATAGCGAGATTTATTATACCTCCAATTCAATTCATTTTTAGAAATATTGAGCACCACCTTGCGACAGGCCCTGAAGGAAGAGATGTAGGGAATGCAAAGGTGGATCAGAGGTGTCCCTGCTTCCCTGCAGTTCCCACAGCACGGGGCAAAAGGGGCCCGGGTTACAGGGTTCAGAATAAGGAGAGAACAATTCTACCTGGGGAATAGGGCATAATCAGAGATGGTTTCACTGTCAAATTAACATTTCAGTTACATCTAAGAAGGGACATGGGCTGTTGAGTCAGAGAAATGGGGAAGAAAGCCATCTAAGGGCAGAGCGTAACAAAAGAAAACAGGTGGGCTGAGAAGTGCAGAGATTATTTGGAAATGATCATGGAATCCAGCTTGACTTGAACACAGGCTCTGAGCAAGGCAGAAGTGAGATGTAAAACCGGGGGATAAACAGACAGTTTAAGATTTGGTACTTCCTTTTCTCACCAGTGGAAATCCACTGAAGATCTTTAAATAAAGAAGTGATGATGGAAGCTGTACTTGGAACAGACCAATATGGCAGTGTGTGCAGACTGGGATCTTGGCCACTCCCCAGGCCTTTGGCATTGTGTCTGACACTCTTATTTGTCACCACGACTGGGGGAACCCTACTGCAGTGCTAGGGTGGAATCCCAGGGAACTGAAGAACTATCCCAGCCAACATATCAGGAGTACCTTGTTGCGGAACACTGGTAGGGGAAGGAAAGAAGCTGGAAAGGCAAATCAGGAGACATCTGATAATCCAAGTATCAGGTAATGATCTGAGCCAGGATGGTGAAGGTGGGCTTAGAAAAGAAGAGTCAAATACAAGAGACCTTAAAAAGGAGGAGGTAGAAGGCCCCTGGGTGGGTGGCTCAGTCAGTTGGGTGTCTCTTTTTGGCCCGAGTCAAGATCCTGGAGTCCCAGAATTGAGTCCCGAGTCAGGCTCCTTGCTTAGTGGGGAGTCTGCTTCTCCCTCTGCCCCTCACCCCGCTTGTGCTCGCTCTCTCTCTCAAATAAATAAATAAAATCTTTAAAAAAAGGAGGCGGTAGAATCAACAGGTCCTATTGGAGATAGGAAACGTGATGGAAGAACACCAAGGCTTTGAGCCACAGTGATCAGAGCAAAGAGAATCTGGACATTTACAGAAACTCAAAAATCAAAATCTGAATCAGGCTCAAAGCTTGCATAAGCATAACAGATCTGCCTCCCGTCACATGACAGAACTAAACACCCTCCACCCCATCTCCTTCTGCAGTTCTTGCCTCTAGTTCTTTATACATCCCATGGCACTTAACCGATGATGGGCCAAGCCCTCTCTACTGTGTCACTTTTTGTGTTCAGTGCATGGATCAGACATAAAACAGGTGCCCCTTCAACTTTACTGTTCCCTGCTCTATAAAGGGAATATTAGACTTAATAACCAACATTCTCAAAGTTCCAGTGCCCCTCTCCCACACTGTTAAATCTTTCTGGACCAGTCATGTAGCACCTTCATTGTTTTAGGAATATGATCTAGCTATAAACTCATTGCTTTGGCAGTCGATTAAAAAAATTAATTAGAAGTTCACAGGCTTCAAACAAGAGAGAAGAAAAGAATAACAGCAGTAAAAAAAAAAAAAAGAATAACTGAGCAGTGAGTGATCAAGGAGCATAATGAGGAGCAGTAGCTAGTTTCTTTGGCTGCAGAGAAACTTCTGGAAACCACCTGATAGAGGTCAGTTGACAAACACCTGTGAGAAGTGGAAAAATTCCCCTCTCATGTCAAGACACCTGGAATATTTCACTTCTTTGAAACGAAAATTGTCATTCAACATGCTCATGAAATCCTTTAAGAGAAGTAACAACAATATTTGGAAATGTTTCTGTGTTCTCACTTGGAGTTCTTTTTGTTACCCAGCAGATTTTTTTTAAAGATTTTATGTATTTATTCATGAGAGACAGACAGAGAGAGAGAGAGAGGCAGGGAGCCCGACTCGGGACTGATCCCAGGACCCCGGGATCACGACCTAAGCCGCAGGCAGACGTTTAACCGACTGAGCCACCAGGCGTCCTCCCAGCAGCTTTTAAAAATGAGAACCTAAACTGAAGGCCAGAGAAAATTTTTTATGGTTAACATTTGGTGCATAGTGCTTAATTTCCTAATCAGTTTCTCTCTAAGGGTTAAAGTGTATCTAGTGAGACAACATACATTGCTGTATTGGCTGCAAAATAGACACTTTTACAGACTCACACTAAAAAGTCTGGCAGTTTCTCAAAAGATTAAATATAGTTACCACATGACCCAGAAATTCCACTCCTAGGTGTTCTACTCAAGAGAAATAAAAACGTGTGTCCACAGGAAGACTGGTAGAAAAAATGTTCACAGCTTCATTATTCATAATGGCCAAAAAGTAGAAACAACCCAAATGTCCTTCAGTAGATGAAAGAATGAAGGAAAGGTGGTATATCCATGCTACTGAACATTAGCCAGCAATAAAAAAGAATGAAGTAGAGATACATGCTACAACATAGCTAAGCCTTAAAACATGCTGAAGGAAGCCATTCCCTGAAGAAACCCCAACCTGTATGATTCTATTTATATGAAATTTTCAGAACAGGCCAATCTAGACAGAAAGTGGATTAGGGGTTGCCTAGGGCTAAAAGGATTGGGAGGAAATGTTGAGTGACTGCAAGTGGACACAGAGGAGGTTTTTTCAGGTGATGAAAAGGTTTTAAAATTGACTGTGGCAATGGTTCCATAATTCTATAAATATGCTAAAAATCAATGAATGGTATGCTTTAAATGGTTGAATTATATAGTATATGAATTACAGCTCAGTAAAGTTGTTTTTTTAACCACACTAAAATATTTCCTTCAGCATGAGATAAGAGCAAAAAGGGTCCTCATGCTTTTTAAAAATACTTTAAAAATTTTTAAAAAGCAGATTGTATACACGACCAGCGTTCCCGTTTCACTGTATCTCTCAACTAGCACATGCTCAAACTTGAGAAGGCATTCATGGATAAATGAATAAATGATTGGAAGGACACCCAGCAAAACCCTGAGAAGGCACTTCGGAAGGTTCTATAGAAAAGGAGTACTCACAGGAAGCCCCCGGGGTCCTCGGGGTCCCACATCGCCGGGCAGCCCCTGTTGGCCCTGTTATGAGGAAGGCAGGGAAAGAAAAAGTTAACACTCCCGAATTCTCTGCTGAGTGATTACAACAGGGAATCACATAAGGAAAGGTAACTCATGTCATCTTACCGGTTTGCCTGAATTCCCCAGCTGACCAGGCTTCCCTGGAGCACCTGTGTTACCCTAAAGGTAAAATGCGACATTCGAAGTAAATTCAGACAGCAAGTAAGCAAAATCATCAACCTGTCTTACCCAAACTGGGCATTTCTTACACCTAAATAGCATTAATTTCCCAATTTCACATTGAGAATTTGGGAGGATATAGAATCTCTTTCTTGGTGGCTACGTTAAAGTTCTTTAGATTCAGGATCCTGTTCTCTTATTCCGAAAAGTATAATAAAGGTATCAAAAAATGTTCAAAAATGAAGGTCGAATGTCAAAAAATGAATAAGAAGATTTTTCTTTCTTTTTTTTTTTAAAGATTTTATTCATTTATTTGAGAGAGAGAGAGAATGAGAGATAGAGAGCACGAGAGGGAAGAGGGTCAGAGGGAGAAGCAGACTCCCTGCCGAGCAGGGAGCCCGATGTGGGACTTGATCCTGGGACTCCAGGATCGTGACCTGAGCCAAAGGCAGTTGCTTAACCAACTGAGCCACCCAGGCGCCCGAAGATTTTTCTTTCTTCACAATGTTAATTACATTTACCATTTCTATCTCCAATAAACTTCTCGGAGCCCTTTTATCTGACGCTGACACTATTAAAATTGAAAAGAAACCTGTGAATATGAGGAATAGGTGGATGTGCTGTTGAGAGGACCCTGCCAGCAAGCTCCAGAGAAAGCACATGTCTGGGGATCCATCTCCACCATCAATCTCTTCCGGTCCACTTAGGAAGGGAGCATTTCTGCTGAAGATGCTGGGGACCCCAGTAATTGGAGAGCTATAACCATATAACCCAGTAGTGACCGAATTCTACTTTACTCCCATGTTATCTCTTTTATTTAGATTAAAGCTATATCTTATCCCTTTAATTTTTCCTTCACCTATTGCTTTTAATTGCCACAATATAAGCACTGGTTGATCAGTCTGAGAACGAAATGTTTAATATCTTTTCAGTTTAAGCAAAATCATGTATATTCACTGACATAATTTCTATAGCTTAATCATAATTTCCTTATTTTAAGTGGTAAAGAGCAATAACACTGTCTCTGTTTTGAACTGACAAAGGATGACACTTCCAGGAAAGAAGTCTAATCAGCAACAATTGGTCAAAGTATTCTTTCTGCAGCTAGGAAAGAGGTTAGCATTTGAGGCCTTAAAAAAAAAGCCTTTTTTTTTTTTTAATTTCTCCTTAGGATCAAATATAAAATAAAAGGCAGGTTGGAAATACTAAAAATGATAAAACATATTAATGAAAAAATAAAAAAAGAGAAAAGTACTGTTAGAAAGTTTTCATCTTTTACCTTTTCACCAGCAACGCCCTTCGCACCGGGAATCCCAGGCACACCCTAAAAGAGGACACACAGAACATGGGTTGAATCGCCTCAGTGGAGAATCTGTGAGAGGCCATGCCTACTGCACCCTGCCGAGGAGCTGAGAGAATCATGACAACATCAAAGCTTTAGTGTGAGGGAGATTCTTCCTAGTTCCCGAATTCTGAACAGTTCTAGAACTACCCACAGTTTAGAAGGAATTACTTTACTCTATCTGGCTTGGTAAGTCTGAATACCCTTAGGCAAACCCTACCTCTAAACTAAAGTTGTTTTTCAAGCATGAATTTCCAAATTATAATCCAGTCAAGGGGAGCTCCTACCAGCATGATCCTATGCACAGAATAACAAAACAAAGACCTACTGAAATGCTAAACCTGAAGTAGAAAAACGGAATGGTAGGAGAACGCTGGCTCGAACTAAAATCTGGTACTATTGGGAGTCCTAATGTTCTCTAACTGATTATTTTAAAATGTCAGATATCATAATAAATTGAGGTCAGCCCTCGAATTACCAAGTGTCCCTTTATTACCTTGAAACATTTGTCTCCAAGAATACATCTGTATAATCCACGTTAACCTCTAGACACATCATTGCAGGGAAATGCCAATTCGAATAATTCAAAATAGCACACAATCAAAAAAGTGGTCTCTTATACCTCACATCGTTCCATGAGCATACTCTCAAGCCTCTTATGACTCAACTCTGCTAACAAGAACTTCAGAAATGGTGAAAAGGAGGAGGGAGTATGTGCTCCTGGTCCACAGCTCAGAATTAGTAAAAAGATAAGAGAGACTGAGTGAACCAAAGAGAGAAGAAGAATGCAAAATACAAATTAAAGCTTAGTATAGTTATTAGAGAAACAGTTCCTTATTCAGGAAAAAAGTATAAAATGCAAAACTGTAAAAATGTAAACTTAAAGCATCATGTTTCTTCCCCGGAACGTATCAAATTATTTGTTTCTCCCTAAAATTTGTATTTTCCAAATATGTAGCTAAACCAATAAACATTTAGAGACCCAAATACTCACAGGTAAGCCCTGCAATCCTGCATCACCAGGAGGCCCAGGCTTCCCCGGTTCACCCTGAGAAAAGAAGTTTTTATTGCATCATTGAATGTGTGTGAGCTGCTATAAGTCTTTCAAGAAAAGAAAGGACACAGGGCTTCTGCGTAGAAGGATTCCCTACAGGTGACCTTATGTGCACTTTTATAATATGATCCAGTTCAGGGCGGGGGGGGGGGGTACGGGGGACGGGATGGGGAGGATGGACTTGGAACATAAATTTAATCAAAATACACAATCTCTTTCAACTGCTTTCATCAACAGGGCATTTCTACTGAGTTCCTAAAACCAAGTAAACAAGCATACTATTCTAGTTGACACTTGATGAAAAAACTAAATGGAGGAAAAAAACCAAAACCAGCTGAGTAAATCTGCCAGTAATGTAGTAATGGAAGTGCTGGGCTCGGTTGGCCAGGGCTACACAGCTACCTTTGTCCCGGGCATTCCAGGTATTCCGTCACGGCCATCCACACCTGGCAAGCCCTAAAGACACACAAAGCAACACACTGTGTCTCAGAAACAGTCACATTCTTCTTCCCTTCATTATTGCCTAAAGTTTTATTACCAGCTAATAATCACTTAGAAAAATGTGGTGGATGACTACGGCTCAGGACATACCGTGTCTCCTTTGGTCCCAGGGACGCCAGGAATTCCTCTAGAACCTTGAGGGCCCTTGCAGAGCAGAAGGGAAGGGATAGACAAGACATGCTCATTTATCACGACACTTTGGACACATCAAAGAGATAAGCATAATCAGCAGAGGACACCAAAAAGGCACCATGTCTGTAGTGACTGACATGAATTTGAACTCACTCTATCTCCCTTGGGACCTATTTCTCCTGGAGGTCCTCGCTGTCCTTGATCACCCTGTATGAAAATAAAATGTTGTTAAAAATAGCAAGAGCTACTTATTGATAGACTTTTGAAACTATAAAACACCATCTATCTATATTACCTTATTACTGCTCTTTCACCCCAATGCTTTGCTCTGTCATGGATGCCTAGCTCAAGAAATCTTTTTATAAAAATTACATTGTCTTAAAAATGTATATTGCCATAGAGATCACAGAGACTCACATGCCCTTTGATTTCATTTTAAATGTGTAAAGCTTCTGGGCTCTTTGGATCCATACTGCAGGTAACCTTAACATCAGTAACTATGTCTACATATCAGCTAAACTCATTGACTATCATGGTGGGTCAGTTGCCTACCTTTTCTCCATATTATTTCACTCTCCAGGCAATAATAATGGTTTCTGTCAAAATTATCCAGCTAATGTTGATTTATGGTATGCGGGTAATAGATGAGAGGATGTGTCTTCCTAAACTAGAGCTTTTGTTGAATTGTATAACTAGTCTAAAACCTCAAATGGCTAACTATTGCTACTAGATCAGTTCAAATTGCTCACATTGGCATTAAATACTCTCCACAGTGTAATCCTGCTTTATATATTCAATTTCATCTTCTCAACAGAAACTTTCCAAGCCAAGCAATAACAGTCCCTATGACAACACACACCCCCCATCACCACCAACAGCGCTCCTTCTCAGCTGTACGCTGCTGCCTTTCCCACCCAGAACAGCTTTCCAGATCAACCTGCCTCCAGGATCTTCTTCTTACATGCATTGCCTCTACCACATACTCCAGTGCTGGATCTCATAATGCATAATGTAGTTACATTCTGTCTTTCCCATTGAACTATAAGAGCTTGATAGTTGAAAATTCTATTTCTCTTATACCTTTTCTACTTATTCTGTGATAAAGGTGGTTATTAATGGGTGGCTTATTTATTTATTTCTAGAAAAGGTCTGAGGCAGCCTATAATAATGACACATGTACATATAGCAGTCAAAATATAGAATAATGAGATCAGAAATCACAGAAAAGGATAGAATTATCCAAGAACCTGAAATGAGACAGTTACTGTGATTCTAAGCATCCTGGCAGCCAAAACAAAAGGAAAACACAGCAAACATAGAAACTTAACAATTTGACTTCACCTATGTGAAAAAAACCCATATCAAATCAAAAGAACATTTCTCTTTATTCAAGGAAGTGATGCTTACCTTTATTAAAATTTGTTTAAATAAATATAAAAACTACTGCCAATTTTACCACTTTAATTATTCACATGTAAAAGACACTTGCATGCACACACACACACACACAGCAAATAATCTATGACTGATCATTGCTAAATAATCTATCTCTGGGTCTTGTAAAAGGAAAACTACTTACAGGTGCACCAGGAAGACCTTGAGGTCCAGGTTCTCCATCTAAGCCCCGAGCACCCTGCAAAAAAACAAGACAGAGAAATGAAATTGAGATCAGTCATTAAAAGGCACATCAGTCTTTCCATGGAACATTAATAGCCAGATTAAAAGGAGGTTTTGTGTCTGTAATATATACTGTATTCATTGGTGAACCCCAGGGAGTATTCATTTGGGTACCTCAGATATGAAAACACTAGTTTACGTCTCCTCATCCCACCAAGAGTACTGATGGCCAATCTTTGATACCACTCTGGATATTTTAACACTGCAGCCATTCTTGATTGATGACATGAATTATAAACACTGGTACCTATTTTGAGAAGTTGGCAAACCTATCAGAGGAGATTTGGGAGTCACCCTCCGGGGTTCTCAGGATTCCTATGGCTATTCATTAATGGTGAAGACCAAGGAGCCACCCAAAGAACAGAATGGTTGCCATGGACTGCAGCTGCCACAGCTGTGAGTGGGATTCTGTGACACTGGATTTCCACCAAGATCCAGATTCAGAAGTCCAGTCACGTGATTTAGAAAAATGAATTGTAATAAGGATTTGAGTAGCCCCCATTCCATCCTAGATAGACATTAGGTTTGGTTAACATAAAAATAATACATCTATTTTCTTTTTTTTTAAAGATTTTATTTATTTATTTGAGAGAGAGAGAGAGAACGAGAGATAGAAAGCACGAGAGGGAAGAGGGTCAGAGGGAGAAGCAGACTCCCTGCTGAGCAGGAAGCCCGATGCGGGACTCGATCCTGGGACTCCAGGATCATGACCTGAGCCAAAGGCAGTCACTTAACCAACTGAACCACCCAGGCGCCCGATACATCTATTGTCTTAACAACAGATTCACCCTACCAAGAGATGGAAACTACAGAGCTTTATAAATCTAATTATCTTGAAATCAATGGTGACTTGGTTATATTGTACATTTCACCTCCTTACTTAATGATAAGAATCAAAATGTGATCTTAAAACAAAAATATCGGGGGGTTTTAGTGCTTCCTGCATATGCTACATGATAAAATACAACCCCCTTCTTTAAATCTTTTTCTCATCCACTAGGTGAATAAGGCAGAAGGGTGACTGAAGTCAACAGTCCATCTCCTAATGAATAGGGTTGAGATAAGGAGATGATAAAATAAATGGAAAACAGTCAAAAGAGTGCTGGATGGATGTCAGGCCAAGAAAACCAGGTGGACAGCATCTGTAGTAAGAATTAAGAATTAGAAAACCTTTGATAGAAGGTTCAGAAAAGGCAGAATCAAAGAAAGAACACAACTGAAGCAGAGGCACCACAGAGACTTGAAATTCTTTGATCCCTAAAAACTAGAAGAGAGCAGAAAGCATTTTACATTCACCAGGGAAGAAGAGGTTTGGAAGACCCGAAAAAGACCTTGAATTCATCATTCACCTTGCGTTGTGAGCGTGGAGCCCGGCCTTTGCATTATAGAAATGTCTGTGATATACTCACTCTCTCTCTTATTTCTGTTCAGCATGAGCTCAGTCCCAAAATGCTGTTACTAGGCAACCACTCCAGGGGTCTGAGTTCATAAGAAGAGCTTGCTTTTTTTTGCTTTTTTTTTTGCTTTTTTGTTATTGAAAGCAATTTGACAGAACTCAAAGGAAATGAGAAATTTTGAAAAATGCCAAGTAAAAAAAATACTTCAAATAAAGAGCATATCAAGAACAGTAATTGGTTTCAAAGTGTGGAGTCACATATTTTAGATATTTAAACCCAGAAAAAGCAAAGGCCTAGGTATCAGCAACTTCAAAATAAATGGAATTTATTATTTAATAACAGAAGAGATACACACAGAATGTTACTTAAGGTAACATGAATATAGAAATACGAAGTATTTTTTTTTAAATACAGTGTTTTTAGAAAAGATATTCTGGAGGAAATAAAAGAGTAAAACAGGCAGAATGAGAATACCTAGAAGGAACAAAGTGGCTGAAAGAAAAATGAAGTTGATGGAATGGTCACAAAATAATTCCTTCAATTTCCAAAAATGTGCATTTCTTTTAGAAAAATTTAATTTATGGAGCACCTACAATGTGCAAGTTATTCCTGCTTAGCTGTTAATAAAAGTCTCTGTGCTTCTGTGTGAAATGACACAAATTAGCCATAGAAGTTCTAAAGAGAAAGAGGCGAGGGTCAGAAGTGGTGGCAGGCAAAGGGCTTTTTTTTGTTTCTCCTGGAACCTACAAATTGGCTTTCCTAATATACTCTCTAAGTGGTAACCATTTTCTTAAAATCTGATAGAGAAGCTAGACACAGCCCTATACACACACACACACACACACACACACACACACACACACACACACACA